GACTGGCGAAACATTAGGAAGAAAAACCTTAAGAAAACAGCCAAACGGCCTGGAAACCCCACAACAACCATTGGATCCCGGCCATGAAAGCCTTCAAGAATACATAAAATATTACTGACAAAATTATTTGCACCCCTATCTCTGGTTGCCTAGAAAATTTTTGTTTTGTTTGTTTCCTAAGAACTTCCTGAAAATTAGTGCACTACTGCTAGTATTTACACCAAGGTTTTTTTCACTGCAAAAACACAGAAATCACCTTCACCTCTCTTTTTCAAAGGACAGCAAGAAAAGGATAGATGTTCAGCAGGACACTTTGTTTTTCTAGCTTCAGAATTCAGACATTAGTCTGTTGTGACAAAATGTTCTGAAGCATGTACATGGTCACTACAGAACCTATTCAGTATTTATTTAAGCAGAGTGTCACTAGCTTGAGTAGCCTGAATAGAGCTATTCATTTGCGCAAACAAGAAGCAACTCTGCTCTACTGATTCTGAACTGAAGACACTAAAGAATTATGCTTGGTATATATTTAATAAATATTTCCGAAGAAAAGGCACCCCCCCATCCCAAGGGGAAAAAAACTAACAATACTCTCTTCATACTTAAAGAAATACTTGGTAGCAGGAGAACAAGCTGTACTTTACATCCATATCCCAATATTTTCCAAAGTAGAAGGCAAATCTATCCTGTTTACTGCTACAGTATTTGCATCCAAATTATAAGAAATTGCCACCAAATCAGATATGTGATCTGCTAGCTTCCTGAAGGACAAACGGCTGACAAATTTTAATCTCTTGCCAAAGCTTGGAAACCCCAGAATCTTCAGACAAGCATCTCCTTGCTGTCTGGGAAGGCGTCACGCAGAACTTCTCCAAGCTCTGCTTCCTGCTCTCAACAACCTTTGTAGATGGTATAATACTTATGCACTAAAAGGCTTCACTGAATCAACTGATATAAAACCTGTTGATGCTACGGGTCTACTCTAATTGAGGCTAATCATTGGGTTCAGGCTTTTGCTTTCCAGTGCACCACATATACATTCCCATGTTTGGGAAAAGGAAAGCAAAGAGTGCTGTTGATATATTGCCCCATAACACTTAAAGCATTCTCTGGCCAGTTAACCATTTAATTATGTAGGCTTAATTAAATTAAATTAAATTAAATTGCCTGCCCCCCAGCAAACTGGATACTCAGTTTACCAACCTTGGAAAGATGGAAGGATCAAATTCAGGTTGCAAACAGTTTTGACTGCAGTATTGCAATTTAACCACTGTGCCATGAGGATCCTACAGTAACAGTAATGACAGCTCTGTCACTATCTTTACCCATACATTAATTGAATTTCTACATGACATCATCAGTGCACTGGTATTCTTTGGTGGGTTGCAGCATCTAGCCGAACAGCACAGGCCCTGAGCTTGACTAATCACTGTGATTCTGAGATCATCAAGAGCCATATAGCCCTAGAGCCAAGATCACCCTAAGAATGTGGAGATGATCTCAGCATAATGTTTCTTGCTCTATCACCTGTGTTGCTCTGTGCAAGCTGCATAGTTCCAAGGCACAGCCAAGTAAAGAAACCGGAATATCACTTTGGAGAATTGTACCTAGAAAACACTGAGAGGGCTGCCAGAAGTCAGAATGAATTTAATGGCACATAATTAAACATGAGAGCATCAGCCATACTTACTGGGTAGTATATCCAACAAATCCCATGGCGAACATTATCTTTGTATTGGCCTTTGAATATCAGTCGTGCATCTGCATCATATTCCTGGGCTGGCCCATTTAGTTCACCATCTATATAAGTACCGTGAAGGGCCCCTCCATCTTCATAAGTATATATTCCCTGGCCTTGCAGAGCATCATCAACATAGCAGCCTTCTAAAGTGCTGATGAGGAAAAACAAAAAATACACAAGGAAGCATATTTATCATTTGATCCACTTTGCACAAAGTTTTCCAAGGTCTACCTAAACAGTCTAGAATTATCTTAAAGCCTATTTCATTTCAAACTAACCAGCATGGGCTTAATATGCCATTCAAAAGTCTTAATGCCTGCGCTAGCCCAAATACTTCTTCCTTGGTATGGCTGTAGAATACCCATTCTGTGGGATATATTTCAGATCCCCTCTTTTGCTTCTTCTCATTACAAGTTTAAAATGTTCTTTCACCTTTATTGTTGCTGACTTTTGATGTCACATTTAGGATCAATCACTTTATTTACAGTAAGGTAAAAGGTAAAGGTTCCTCTTGACAATTTGTCCAGTCGTGGCCAACTCTAGGGTGTGGTGCTCATCCCCGTTTCCAAGCTGTAGAGCCAGTGTTTGTCTGAAGACAATCTTCCGTGGTCACGTGGCCAGCACGACTAGACACGGAATGCCGTTACCTTCCCACTGAAGTGGTACCTATTTACTCGCATTTGCATGCTTTCAAACTGTTAGGTTGACAGGAGCTGGGACAAGCAACGGGAGCTCACTCCGTCGCGTGGATTCGATCTTATGACTGCAGGTCTTCTGACCTTGCAGCATAGAGGCTTCTGCAGTTTAACCCGCATCGCCACCATGTCCCTTATTTACAGTACTTCCTTAAAATTTTATTTTAAAAAACAAACACATTTTTGCCTCTGTATTTATCATGTTGTGAAACCATTCAAAACTAAATACATTTTAACAAAAGTATCACAACTGGGAACTACAAGTATGCTGAAATGTACACACAGAGTGTATATGTGATATGAATTCTTTCTCACCGAAAGAAATAGGACAACTATTGTAGGGCTTTGGAGAGGGAAGGCATGAACTCTGTGCTTATAGAATGAATTGTTGATTGCATTCATCATCTTCTGCACTTTTAACCTTTTATGTTCAAGACAATTGGTAAAAACTGTTGCTTTAAATGAGAAATGCAGCACTAAGACAGTGAATGGTTCTTAGCCAAGGGCAATAAGGAAAATGCCAATGAACTTCATATGTTATGAAGAAGAACCATGCTGGATCAGGCCAAAGGACCATGTAGTCCTGTATTCTGTAGAAACCAGGTCAGTTACCTGTGGGAAGCTTACCAGAAAGACTTGAGCACATCAGCCCCCAATCACTGGCCTTAAAGATGTCTGGGAGAAAAACTTTATCCACAACTCTTCTTTTATTAAAGCTTAGCATTTTATTTTGTTTCACATAATAATAGAAAAACATGTTCGCATTTGCACAGTAATAACAATGTGTACTCTGCAGAACAAGTAACTGCAACTACAAGACAAGATTGAGAGTAGTCAGTGCTTTTGCATCAGCACTTACCTCATCAGACTATAACAACGTTAAAGGCAAATTTTAGTCTTTAAAGAGCTAGCAACAAGCGAAAGGGGCTGAAAGCAGATCATAACTTTGCATTTAGCATCTGCGAAATATTCAAGAAAATGGCGTAGTAAGAAAAATTAAGCTCTTAATAACCAAGCAAGCATAACAGAAAAATTAAATAAACCATTCACATAATAATTGCTACCTTCCATCAAAGAAGAAGAACTTTCCACGACCATTCTTCTCTCCATGCACAAAGTTGCCTTCAAATCTATCTGTGGATGAATAGGTGACTGTACAGAACCCATGAGGTAGCCCATCATCATCAAGCGTTCCTTAAAAATGGAAAGACCAATGAGACCAATGTGGTTGATGTAGAAAGGGTTTCTACTTGTATACCTCTTGATGGGCTGGATTTTTCTTAGAGCATGAAAAATATATAGGCTTTTTTGGGGATGCAACTCCCCAAACTTCCATTCAGCACAAACACTGGCCATGCTGGCAAATGGATTCTGGGAGCTGTAGGTTCAAAGCTGTTTTAAGGTCTTTCTGTTTGTTCTATGATAGGGCAAGCTTTGCTTCTAGCTTACTACCTTTCCTTCTTTACCACCACACAAATCTGCTTCAGTTTTTTCTGTCATCTCCCTCTCCCTACCCAGTGCCACTTTACTGTCAAAACTATTGTCAAAATAACCAGACACACAGTAAGTAAAACCCTATTCTCCATATGTATCAAGGACAACAAAAACTGCGAACAAATTAGCTATATGGAATTTGCTACCCCGTATCTGCATATTCCACAGATTGAACCCACAAAGCTACATAAGCTACATCTGACCAGTGGACAAACAGAGGATGGAAACCAATAACAAGGTAACCAAAATTTCAGACATACTGAAAAATGATGCTATATCAGAGAATCATGAAGTTGGAAGGGGCCTATGAGGCCATCAGGTCTACCTCCCTGCTCAATGCAGGAGAACAAATCAAAGGATATCTGCCAGTGGTTATCTAAATTTCTCTTGATTGCCTTCAGTGTTGAAGCACTTACTACCTCTCAAGGTAATTGGTTCAGCCATCATACTGCTCTAACAGTTGGGAAGTTTTTCCTGATATTCAACCAAAATCTGGCTCCCTGTAACTTGAGTCCATTGTTGCTGAACCGACGCTTCCACCACTCTTAATCACTGCCTACAAGGACTAGGGTTAATGGGAGTTACAATACAACATCTAAAATGCTGGACTTTGCTCATCCAACTGCTGATTCCAATGGAGCAGACCCACTGAATCAACAGCTGAATGGTAAGGTGAAACTTGTAGTAAAAACTATCAGTTCAATGGGCATACTCTACTTACAACTACCAATTCAGTTTTAAGCCAATATCTATAACTAGATCCAGTTGTTTGTTTTATAGCAGCAAGGACTTTGTCTTCCATTCTCCTAGTATAACATCTTAAAACAGGATATATCATTACCTTGAATTTGTAGGGCAAGAAAACAATCAAAATACCTCCCAACATAGGATGCAATCTTGACCTCAACTGAAAGTCCTGACAGGTCTCAATTGTATTTACACATAAATTAGGGGCAGATTTCAGTAATGCTATGTTACACTGGTACCATAGACAAAGATACTAAAATTAACACTTAAGACTACACTGCCAAAGTAACACACGCTTGAGTTATTATTAAATATAAACATACACTGATATTAACTCATACAAATAGATACATCTCTTCTTTGTTGGACAGTGCAGTTGCAAGAAAAAAGTTTTAGGGAATAAAACATTGAGGTGGGGTAGAAAGAGAGAGAGGTTCAGTCCTCAAAAATGAAAAAGCTGCCCCCCCAAAAAAAGATTGACTTGATTTGAATAAAATAGGCCTTCCAAATTAAGTGTTTAGATCAATTGCACACAAGAGTTCCAGATCTCTTTCCTAACAGAAAAATTGCCATTTGAAACAGTTCAACCCTCCCTGCTATCTGCTTGTCAACTGAACAGTGGAACCAATGTGACCATCTGAAGGAATAGGGTCAGTCTTTGCTTTTTAGCTGTCACCTCTTACTTGGAAACTCTCAGAATGCCTTTCCTCCATAGATGACTAAAATATTACGCGTTGTGGACACCCATATCATTCACAGACAAACCTATTTGGATGGTTTTATTCAAAATGTCTATTTTTATCTCAATGTTACGTATGTTTCTCTTCTGCTCATAAATATGAGTAATGAAATAAAACAGGTGTGTGATTAATTCTAACGTCCAGGACCCAACACTCAGATCCCAGCCCTAATGTCACAGGTCTTGTTTTGGGGTTTCACAAACTACTTTTGTTCAGTTCGCCACATTTCTCCTATGAAATTCCATCTGCTAGTTTTTTAAAGGCAGAACTGTGCCTTTGTCAGCTCTGCACAAATAAGCTTAACTGAGCTCCCAAACCATAATCATGGTGCAGTTATTCAGATAGCTTTGTTCTGCTTTCATTTATGCCGAAGAACCACAGAGATAATTATACATCCACATAGTGTTGGGAGTTTTCAATAACTATGACCATCAAAATGCTTCACAATACAAGCTGCAACTGTGGCCACAATTATGCTCAGACGAGTCCTCCTTACTCTTAACGATAGCCGATGTAATTAGGGGCAGGATTCAATAATGAAAGAATTATGCTGAATTAAGCTTTAGACTATGAATAAGACTTTCAATTTAGAGGTTAATTCATCAGCCAAATACTCTTCATATTAGGCCAAAGAGAGAAAAAGGACCAAGGGTTTTCAGCTGTCTTGCGATTTCCAAATTAACCAGTTCCAGTCTGGCAATGCAGGCAACTCATTAGCTTGTTTGAATGAAATAACTCAGATCACCATATAGTATGTTATATGGATTCCATCATTAGTTTCACATTTGAACTTTTTGGCTCTTCAAAATCAAAGCCTAAGAAGTTACATAACATATCTATCACTCTTTCCAGCTCTAGAAGTCACATGAGAGTGTTGCAACATAAAATCTTCTTCTTTCTAGAAACTAAAAGGAAGCCCAGTAATCAACAATGTTAGTCTGTTTCAACAGGTATAACAAAAATAAAACAAAATGGAAACAAAAGTACTGCCAACCAGTAAGTCTCTGTCCTTTCTAGCATTTTCAGAGTGGCAAGCAGAGTTTAATACTTTCCATTTGAAATACGAAGTGATGAATAACATCAGCATATTTTTTGGAAGAATCAGATCAAAAAAGCAGGAAATTAAGAAGCTAGGCTATCAAAGCTTGCCCGAAATTGGAATTTTAGTCATGCATCTCTGCACATTTCATAAGGCTCCAGATCAGTAAACCAAGCAATGATAACATCATGAAATTCTCAAATTTTATTAACTTCTTCCAGCTTCATAGTTCCTGAAAACATTTTTAAAGATGCCAATTTTAGTCTTTAGACAGGTGACAGAGAGGGAGAGAGGGAGAGAGAAAGCGCATGGACATTTCAAGAGCCTCGCCCAAGGCTGAAAGTCCCCACTGACTCCTCAATTTCAATACACAGTTACTGGGGCAGGAAATCCCGCTGATCCTAAGCGTCCGGGCACCAAATAAAATTGTAAGGACCTGTCACCCACTTCAGGGCGAGGAAACGTGTTCCCCACACACTTCGTCTCAACAGATCTGTCCAAGAGAGAAGGAAGGGCAAAACCACTTGCAAGAGTTGAGGCAACTTCGTCCCTCCGCGGGACGGGGCACCTCTTCCGGCCTAGGCTCATTTTAGGAGGGCTCCTGCTCCTCCTGGCCTGCCTTGACTCTTCCCCAGCCCAGGCCATGCCTGCCACGACGGGCGCCAGCCATGGCGGAGGGGGACAAGCCTGCCTCCTCAGAGGAAACTGCAGCAGGGGAGGCCCTATGTTTCGCCCCACAAGTCCTGGTGGCGCAGCAACTCCCGGGTGCAGTCGCAAAGCTGAGGAGTGGGCAGAGCCGTCTGGCCCAG